GCAATTTTTAATTTTTTCTTTAGAGAGAGAGAGAGAGAGAAAGAGAATGAGAGAGAATTTTTTAATATTTATTTTTTAGTTTTCAGTGGACACAACATGTTTGTATGTGGTGCTGAGGATCGAACCTGGCCGCACGCATGCCAGGAGAGCGTACTACCGCTTGAGCCACATCCCCAGCCCCCCAATTTTTAAATTTTTAACTTGACACATAATTGTACATATTTATTAAACTGGGCTTCTTACTGCAGGGGTTTTCTGTGCTCTTACAAAAATCATCAGGGAGCCCGGCACTGTGGCATGCTTGTAATCTCAAAAGACGTGGGAAGGTTGAGGCAGGAGAATCACAAGTTGGAGACTAGCCTTAGCAACTCAGCCAGATCCTGACTCAAAATAAAAAATTAAAAAGGCTAGGGCGGTATCTTAATGGTAAAGAGTTCCTGGGGTCTGTCCCCAGTACCAAAAATAAGTAAGTAAATAATTGATAAAAATAAAAATAGAAAGATTTGGGGATGTAACTCAGTGGTAGAGCCCTTCCCGGTTTAAAGGAAAAAAAAAATACTGTTCTACTTATGTGGAAAGTGAACTTATTAAGTCCAAGTGTAACAGGGGTTCACTAGATGCTTTGAAACTTACATGTTTTTTCTTTTTCCCAACAATCTTCTCCCTGACCTCCTCCCTGATCTTCTTTTCCTTAACCTTCTCCTCCCTAATCTCATTTTCTCTGAGTCACCTCTTTAAAAGACCCCTGTTCTTGCTGATGGGAGAATCCCAGCCTTTGGGACAGGAGTCCTGGGGTTTCTTCTTTGCTAGCAAAGCAATAAACCTTCTTTTTCCTGTTTCTCAAAACCGTATCCTCCTTATTGGATTGGCATGGGGACAAGGACCGAGCTTTCGGTAACGCAGGGATTATGAAACCTCTGGGACCGTGTATAAAATTTCATGCCAACGGGGCTCATTAAAAATCATCATAACCACATGTGAGCCTAAGCCGTTCCCAGAAAAAACTAACTGCACATTCGGTGCTATAGCAACTGGTCAATTTAGCATTTTTTGTTTTCGTGTAAAAAAAAAAAAAGAAAAGAAAAGAAAAAAAGAAACAAATGAAAGTGCAATCTCTTCGGAAGATAGCCGCCCCTGAGGTCCAATGCAGGTGACGGGACGTCTTAAAACGGCAAAAGGAAAACAGCATCTGACGAATCTGCGGATGGCAACGTAGACGTCTGGTCGAGGCCGGCATCAGGAAGCTTCCTTTGCCCGGAGTCGGGGCATATCTATCTCGGTGTCTGAGAAGGTCTCCGCGAGCCGGAGCTGTGCCGAGGTGAGTGGGAGCGTACGAAGGGACGGGCCCGCGTCCGAGGGAAAGAAGAGGGACTCTGTGGGGATGCTGTGGCCGCCGAGGTGCGCGGCGCCATGTTGAAACCTGGCAAAGGGGGACAGTTCAGAAGCTGCGTTGCGGGCCAGAGGGGCGAGAACTGGAGCGGAAAGGTGGCCCTTTCCTCCTTGCGCCCATTCAGGAGGTGAGGGGTCGGAGGACCCAGCCAGGCTGAGGTGGTGGCTGAGGGAATGGGGGCGCTGGCAGTGTGGCGCAGGCCGTCCCACTCCGACTTCCGCCCGTGCTTCTCCAGCGTCATTGCGCATGCCCGGAGCTGTCGGCGGGAGCGGGGCTTTGGCTCATCCCAAGACCCTGGAAGGAGAGACTTGTATAGAACAAAACTTTGATTTGTGTTATAATAACTTATAAACAAGCACTTTCTTTGATACCATCCAGTCCGCAAAAACCCAGTGACGTGGCGTGTAGACGCGTTTTATAGATAATAATTCCGATTCTCAAATTTTTAAATAAATTTTAAGTTTTGGCACCACATGGTAGAACTGGGTCTTAGGCCTTGAGAGTCTGACTTCCAACCTAGTGCTTTTTGTCGTTTTCCCATATTTTTGCCTTTGACGGTTAATTGCCCCATCCACTTCCACCGCATCATTCCTCTCTCAAATCTCTCCCCTGACCAGAATGTAAAAATCCAAGGAGATTATTGCAGGAGATCTCAGTATAATGCTGCGATGCTGCAGATACAATTAGAAATATCGTATTATATTATGAACAGTGCAGGCTGCTGTTGTATTTGATAAAAACATGCAGATGAGACAGAACAAATCTTGTGCTTAATTCTTTATCATTCTTTAGATTTTAATTTTAAGTAATTTTAAAGCTTGGAACAGGAGCTGTCACTATGTACGATAATGTAAGTTTTTTAAAAAAATATTTTTTAGGAATAGTTGGCCACAGTACCTTTATTTTATTTATTTTTATATGGTGCTGAGGTGAAGATCAAACCCAGGGCCCCACACGTGCTAGACTAGCTATACCACTGAGCCACATCCCCAACCCCAATAATTTAAGTTTAGTTGGTGGATCCTTGTGACTTCTTTTTGTGTGTGTAGTGTTGGGGATTGAACCCAGGGCCTTGTGCATGCAAGGCAAGCACTTTATCAACTGAGCTATAAGAATCCCAGCCCATGGACATGGTTTTTTTTATATTGCATGAGGAGGGGTTCTTTTCCTCCTGGGGTTGGAGGTGGATCATGGATCTCAGTCTCCAACACCCAGAATCCTGATGGATTTTCTTCATTCCAATCTCCAAAGCCTTATCTTTCATGAAAGCCCCCTGAGCAAATGGTCAAGAGCTCAAGCTCTGGAGTTCAACACAGCTCCTGGTTCAAAGCTCCTGGTTCAGATCCCCTCACTGGGCCACCACTTAGCTTTATGACTTGGGGTAATAGTCTTTATTTTTTTTTATTTTATTTTTTTTTAGTACTGGGGTTTGAACCCAGGGGCACTGCTTAACCACTGAGTCACGTCCCCACTCCTATTTTATATTTTATTTAGAGACACGGCTCACTAAGTTGTTCAAAGCCTCACTAAGTTGCTGAGGCTGGCTTTGAATTTGTGATCCTCCTGCCTCAGCCTCCCCAGCTGCTGGGATCATAGGTGTGTGCCAGGGTGCCTGGTTGTGTCCAGCTCTTCTCATCTGACAGGATGGTGACAGCGGTGCCTACCTACATGCTGTTGCTGAGAGCTGAGAGGAGGGTTTAGCACAGTGCTTGGCACCTGTTAAGTGTTGGACTAATCTGTAATCATCATAGTTTTTTCCTGCAACCCTGTGATGGAATGGGGAATAAGACTAAACTCCAGGAATATCAGGCCCAGTAGATAAGGGGTCTTTATAGACCAAATATCAGAATATTGGGACCAAAATACCATAGCTCCATCTCTTCTGTTTTCACGTGGAGAAATTCTATCCATGAGAGAAAAGACAGTGAGCCAGAGCCAGAACAGGACTGCAAATGTCTCACTCCTGTCCTCTGTGCCTTCTGATGCCCTCAAGGTCTATCATCCTTTACTGTTTAAGATAACCAGAGAAGCATCTTCTCCAAAGTTGCTTGACTTTTAAAATTTTTTTCAGTGCTGGGAACCCAGTGGCACTTAACCACTGAGCTTACATCCCCAGTTCCTTGTATTTTGACATAGGGCCTCCATGAATTGTTGAGGGTGGTCTTGAACTTTCGATCTTCCTGCCCCACCCTACCCAGTGGTGGGATTGGCAGCGTGGCCACAGTGCCTGGCTTCCACTTGCTTGTCTTCCACTTGCTTGTTGATGACGACAGGCGGGACCCTCCTCCTTCCACCGCCTGGTGGTGTGTGGCACAGTGTGCTCCCTCTCCATTCTCAGTGATGGGCCCTTTTGTTTAACTTGGAAGGCAGTTAGTTCAGTTCCCCAGTGTTCAACAGGAAGTGTCCTAGGACCTGGAGATAATAAACTCAAGGGTGTTCACTGTGCGTGGGGCAGAACAGTCAGTCCAGGAGGGGTCCCGGGAGCCGGGGGAGGCACATTTGCTCTGTGGGGGGAGTTTGAAGCTGGACTTGGAAGGATCAGTGGGATTTCTAAAAGTGGATGTGTGGGAGGCAGAAAGGAAGGAAATATTCCCTGCAGGGCAGCTGCACAGGGCAGAGAGGAGCTGAGGACTAGGTGCATCCAGGAGCAAGCCTTCTAGGTGTGCAGAGGCTTTGTAATGGGGTTTGGTGAGAGTGTGAGCCAGGCCAGAGGCCTCAAGTGCAGTGCCCTTGGCTTTGAGTTTATTCTGTGGGTGTTCAGCTTTTTACTGGGGGAGCAGTTCCACAGTGTACCCCATTAGCAACTGGTCACTGCCCCTACTCACCCCATCAACTGAACAAGCAAAGCAAAAAGATTCTTGAAGAAAACTTGAGTAAGAGGAGAAACTTTATAGACATCATTTTAATATTATGGGAAGATGTCATCAGGTTGAATGACCATGGACAGGCTACAGAGTCCTGGTTTTGGAGGAGGGGGTTATGTGAGTGTTAGCCAGGTCTGACCTTAGGATTACAGCAGGCATCCCTAGAGTCAGTTGTCACCCATCAGAGTGACTGACAACTGCGGTGTGCCCACCAGTGAAAGTTCCCTGTAGTCAGTTCCGGGGCTCCTGGGATAATAGAGTCAAGAGGAGATCCCAGGTTCCTGGGGAGCAGAGGAGCCTGCCATCTGGGCTACTCCTGAGCTGCCCTCTCAGCCTCCTGTGGCCACCTTGTAAATTGATTTATTTTAATAAAAAAAAAAATAAAAAATAAATAAATGCAAGTCCCAGGGTTACTTTACCACTGAGTTTCCCAGGGTGACCTTGAGCTCGATCCTCCTGCCTCAGCCTCCTGGGCGCTGGGATTTCAAGCGTGGGCCATCTTGCCTGCCCTCTCACCCAGTCCCTGGCAGTGGAGGGTCTGGGACCGTGGGCCACACCACGGAGCAGTGTCAGTGTCCCTTTGTGGGGGAACCAGGCTCACGCCCTGGGCTCTGACTGGGTGGGGGACTGGCAGCTCTCGCTGCCCGGGCTGCATGGCCCTCACCGCCTGTCTCCCCCAGATCATGAACGACTGGATGCCCATCGCCAAGGAGTATGACCCGCTCAAGGCGGGCAGCATCGACGGCACGGACGAGGACCCGCACGACCGCGCTGTGTGGAGGGCCATGCTGGCCCGGTACGTCCCCAACAAGGGCGTCACGGGGGACCCGCTGCTCACGCTGTTTGTGGCCCGGCTGAACCTGCAGACCAAGGAGGACAAGCTGAGGGAGGTGTTCTCGCGCTACGGCGACATCCGGCGGCTGCGGCTGGTGAGGGACCTGGTGACCGGCTTCTCCAAGGGCTACGCCTTCATCGAGTTCCGGGAGGAGCGCGCCCTGCTCAAGGCCTACCGCGACGCCGACGGGCTGCTGGTGGACCAGCGCGAGCTCTTCGTGGACTACGAGCTGGAGCGCACGCTGCGGGGCTGGGTGCCGCGGCGGCTGGGCGGCGGCCTGGGCGGCAAGAAGGAGTCGGGGCAGCTGCGCTTCGGGGGGCGCGACCGGCCCTTCCGGAAGCCCATCAACCTGCCGGTGGTCAAGGGCGACCTCTACCGAGAGGGCAAGCGGGACCGGAGGGAGCGGTCCCGGTCCCGGGAGCGACACTGGGAGTCCAGGGCCAGGGACCGGGACCACGACAGGGGCCGGGAGAAGAGGTGGCCAGAGAGAGAGCCAGCCAGGGCGTGGCCTGAGAACGACTGGGAGCGGGACCCCAGGGAGGACAGGCCCAGGGGGAGGGAGAAGAGGGACCGAAGCAAGTAGAGGCCCGGTGGGGGACGGGACAGGGGACAGGGGCAGGCTGTACTCAATAAAGCACGAATAAAGCTTATTGATGATGGAGTTTGGAGCCCGGGTATTTCCAGGCCGGAGCCGAGGTTCAAGGTGGTGTTCTGCACCTGTCACCTTCACCACCTCTTTAGTCTGCCTTTTTTAAAAAAAAATATATTTTAGTTGTTGATGGGGATCTTTATTTTATTCATTTATTTATATGTGGTAAGGAACCCAGTGCCTCACACACTTGCTAGGCAAGTTCTCAACCACTCAGCCCCAGCCCCAGCCTCAGCCCTTCACCACCTCTTTCTAAAGACACAGTTTCGTCTTGTCTTTGGCAGTGCTGAGAATGGGACCCAAGGCCTGGTACCTGCTGGGCAAACGCTTTTCCCTGAGCCATATCCCCACCAATCACTGTTATTTAACAGGATGGAGAAGCAGTTCTGCTGCTGGTCACATTTGTACAACAGGCTCTTGTGAGGTTTCATTTGCCTGTAGAGAATTTGTCTTGATTTTCTCTTTGAAATTTCTTTTTAAAAATGTTATTTTATAGTTATAGTTGGACACAATATCTCTATTTTTATATGGTGCTGAGGATTGAACCCAGCACCCTGCATGTGCTTGGTGAGCACTCCATGGCTCAGCCCCAGCCCCAGCCCTGAGTTTGTTTTT